GGTCTTTTATTTGGTATCTCAGAATTGCAGTTTGGGGAGCACAGAGCCAGGTAGATACCCAAATAATGGCCTGCTTGTAGGCTGAAAGAAAAAGTTTTTATAAGGAAAAGGAAGGGGTGGCAATTACATAGGTTAAGAAAAGAGTAAAACGTTTTTTACTGGCATTTTAACAAGCTATGCTATTCTGGGTTATATGTTGGTTGATTACTGACTCTATTTTCAGAAACTTCACCCATCAGAATTGTGTTCAGGATGTCCATTCTCCTGCTGACTTCTCAAACAATTAATTACAATAATTGCCATTTTTCACAGTCCAAAGGTTTTGGCCCAGTTCAAACAAAGGTAAGAAAGGCAGTTTCTCTCCAATGGCCAATTTGACTCTGGTTGGATCAATTTTTCACACTACTGTTCATAAACTAATATGTAATTGAACAAGTATATCTTAAAGAGAGAGTATGGTAGGTGCCTGGAAAAAAAGTATTTTCGAATACCGTAACCCCCTATAACTCTGGGGAAAAAATCCCAGAGCAAAATACCTCTGAAACCAAAATCAGTCAAAGGGAGAAATACACTTTATTTCTTAAAAGCAGTTGTTACCTTTTGCTTGCCCAAGTCTCATGACCAACCCGGCTGCAGAAGAAAGGCCCTACCCAACTTCCCCAGTCCAGATACGCCTTTGCTTGCCCTTCTAATTACCTGTTGATAGGGAGATGGATTATTTCTCTCCACCACTTGGAAACACCTACTGATATGGAGATGCACTAAAGCCAGGTGAGAGATTCTGAAAATATTGCAATTTTATTCACAGTCCATTCCTCCAGAATCTCACCTTCCAATCTACTTGTTCCCCATCTTCCGCAGTGGCCCCTGTGTGAGACAACTGGAACATTGTAACCAGACTAATAACATCCTCACGCCAAAGGATTCAGCTAGGTTCAAAGTCTTATGCAGAGTAAGTCCATAGGTCACCATTCCACAGGCAGGCAGTAGCTGAACAGGTAGGGAGTTCAGAGCAATCATCACACAGCAGCTGCAGCCAGGCAGTGTGTCCAGGCCACAGGGACTGTAGAATAAAATAACTGTAAGGGTGATAAGATAGATGTTTTAATGACACCAGCATAGGCAAATCTTGTCCATTAGGTAGGATGCATGCAAGAAAGTGATTCTGTGATAGGACAGTGGCAGGAATGGGATCTTCACCTGGTCTAGTATACCAGACTTTCACCCCTCTCTCTGTGGGAGTTACAGATGGGTCAGTATATAGGACTACGGGAGGTACATGCACTGGTCATTAAGATAAAACAAAACTTCCCCATAAGATGCTCTTATCTCCCAGATGCTTTAGATACACTACCGTATTCTCAGGGAGGCATTCTGCTGTTACTCCAGGAACAGAGATGAGGCCAGCTTCCTGCCCTTTTCCCCACAGTGCCAGAAGAACCATCCATCACTGGCCCACAGGTCAAAATGTCCAGGGCCATGTTCACTCGACATTGCCTCTGAGGTATAAAGCATTTGGGGCTGTCAGCAGGATGTTGCTCTGCTGGCCATATCCTGGCTTCAACAACTCCTCTTTGGTTTGCACATACAGTTATACAGGAGAGGCAGCAATGTGTGTTAGCATATCCACAGGGCTCAAGGCTCCTATTCAGGGCTTCTCATTCAAATGCCATAGCACTGTCCATAAATGAACTGACCAGCCCAGTACACTACCTGTGTCCAACTTTAGGACAGACTTCAACAAGCCATCTTACCTCTCTATCATGCCTGTCCTGGTAGGGTTAAGTGGCACATGACACTTCCACTTAATTCCTAATTGCTTCACCTAGTCTTGTAATGCATGTACAGTAAAGTGGGTGCATTGATCGTTCTCAGTCACCTGCAGCCAGCCATAGGCTGCAAAGGGACACTCTAGGCCCCTTTTGGTGATTTACTGATCTGCATGATGTGCAGGAAAAGCAACCAACAGTCCAGTATCTGTGTCTGCACTAGTCATAGCATACTGATATCCTTCCATATGGGCAGAGGCCCCATATAGCCTATCTGACACCTGGTAAGGGGTATCAGCCCCTTTACTATTGTCCCATGTTGCTGCAGGACTTGTTGTGAGTCCCTCTTAGAGCGTACAAGGCACTCCTTCTGGGCATGGCTGACTGCTTCAAAGGTTAATGGCAAGCTGCACCGACAGGCTACAACCCGCATTGTCTTTTGCCCCACATGCAACAAATGCTGATGTAACCATTGGGCTCTATCAGAGGCAGGCTTTCCTTCTAGCCAGTGCACCTGGGCCAATGTGTCTTCTTCATTCTCTGGGATGCCAAAGGCAAATGACCAATCACATGATATATGGTAACAGTCTTAGTCTGACCAGAGGTCTTACCACAGCTCTTGTTCTCAAAGGGAACAGTGACCAACCATCCATTTGGCATGTTATCATATTGGTAGCTACAGGGTCAAGCCCTGATAGACAGCCCAGCTCTCAGTGCAGACAAGTATAGGGGAGGGCTCCTGGGTGATCATGAGCCATAATGCCTGCAACTCAGCCCATTGACTACTCTTCCCCTCTTCATCCTCCATCCATATTGTCTCCATCTTAGGATGGAAAGACACAGCCCTCCACTTCAGGGGCTGTCCACAACTGTAGCTGTCTGTATACCAAGTATCTTTGAGTATAGGTGTGTTTCCCTTCTGGTGAGGATGCTAGGCTACCAATGGCTCAAAAGAAAGTTCTTCTTGCTTTCTGCTGATATATGTCACTCCCAATAAGAACTGGTGTTCTCCACTTAAGGGGCGAGTAGAAAGGGCGCTACACTGCTGTAAATATGTATCCCATTTGGCCAGTGTAGGCGTCTGTGCCATGTTGCTCCATGGCCTTTGGATCCAGTCTCGCACCCACCCTGCAATGGGATAGGTGGTTGTTACCTTGGTTGGAGCTCTTCCGGTGATGGGCTCTTTAGCCAGCAAGGCATGGTACACAGCAGCCAGTTGCTTCTCTCTCAAGGTGTACTGGACCTTTGCTCCTTTCCGTAGTTGTTACCAGAATCCAGTTGGTTCATGTATCCATTCAAGTGGCTGCCAAAGGCCCCACACATAACCATCTTAGGTTACATGAACATCTAGCTCACAGGGTCTTGATGAGTACATTACCCTCAAAGCCTGTATAGCCTTGACTGCTCACTAAACAGCAGTAAAAGCAGCTGCACATGTTTTATCCCAGTCCCACCTAAAGCCCTTTTGTACCAACGAGTATAAGGGCTTCAGAATTTGTGCCAAGTGCAGTATAAACACTCTCCATTAGCCCAAAAGACCCAAATACTCTTGTAATACTGCCACAGTGGTAGGGTTAGAGAAAGCCTATACCTTGTCTGTGACTGCTTCTGGGATAACTTTAGTTTTATCTGACCAGACAACCTCCAAGAATTTTGCAGACAAACCATGTCTCTGAACCTTGATGCTGTTCACAGCTCATCCTTTCTCCTGTAGATGTTGCAGCAGTCTAGGAGCTGCCCCTTCTAAATCTTCAAGAGAATCATATGTGAGCATGATATCATGATATCATGATATAGTGATACAGCCACACTGTTTGTGGTTTCTTCCATGTGGCCAAGTCCTGGGCTACAAGTCCATGACAAATGGTGGGACTGTGGAGGTATCCCTGTGAAAAGACAATGAATGTCCCCTGCTGACCTTCTCACATGAAGGCAAACTGTTCCTTACTGTCCTGTGCTATGTGAATAGAGAAGAAAACATTAGCAAGGTTCACACAGAAACAGAGGAATTTTAACAAATTTAGCGACACCCCTCCCTGTCTACCATACCTGTTTTACATTATAATATTGTTATCTATGGTGATAGTCCTCCTCTGGAGCAGTTCCTCCATCTAAATTCTTTTTATGAAGTTGTGTGTGCATTGTGTGTGTGTGTGTGTGTGTGTGTGTGTGTGTGTGTGTGTGTGTGTGTGTGTGAAAATGTCTTTGAGTCTTGGGCCTTGATTGTGTTCAGCTCACATGTCACAGTGGCACACTTGGGGGCAGCCTACCTTTGACTCCTACATAGACATATAAATTGTAATATGACTTGATATATATATAACTGTGGCAAAGCTCTTACAAGATGGGGTAACATAAAGGTAATCTCCTGTTAGTGAGATGGGAAGATCTTTGGAGAGGAAGTTATGTTTATATTGATCTAGTTATATTTATATTGATTCTTTAGCAATATTAGTTATTTTTCTCTTATTCAGTGGCAAGAAGAAAGGAAAGTTTCTAAACAAAACATTGTTCAAAATCGCTGAATATGAAAGGATAACTGTAGAGACTGGTGCAGGTACAGTGTGACTGAATATGAGGATTGGGGAAAATTGCAGGGGAAAAGATGCCCTGAAGATTTACTGGAACAAATTTTGACAGGGCCCAAGTGCCTTATCTGGAGCTCAGGTTGGGTGGGAACCAGAGAACTGAGCTGTCAGGTGCCTGGATAGTTGGATAAATAAATAAAGCAACAAACCAAAGAAGAAAGAGTTAAGCCTTTATTCACTTTCTGTGATGGTATAATGTAACTTTGGAGGGAAAATAAGTTCCCAGCCCAGAGCAAATTACTTTTGAAGCA